AATCCTTGCATTGTGTTGCCATCATTTAGTTTATGTAAGAAGTGGAATCAATCACTGTGAGGTCTCCCATTGGTTTGTGCACTACAATATCCAAGCCTTGATTTAGTCAATTTGGCCTGCTACGCAGCTCTACCCAGCTTTATTTTTCTATTTTACTCCAAATGGGACCATCATTTACAAGATGCACATCATGCTGTATTGATGAAGATTTGGAACTTGTGATAGAGACCGTTAAAGCGAAAATCTTTAGTGAGGTCATACTTTAGATCAAGCAGGATCATTTTCTCATAGACTTTAAGGAACTCCTGCATTGGCTCCACTTGGTTGTGGTTAAGTTGTTTGTTAACTACTTTTTCATTGTGGATCGTTATTTATGGGTAAGGAACAGTTTACAACCCGTTTTATGCGTCAGAGCAACTTATTCTAAAATGTACCTGCAGATTTGTTATAAATATGAACTTGCAAATGTACCATGGAGAAGAAACCAGACTGCATCAATGAGAGAGCTGTGTTTCTGAACAACAGCGACTTAACTTTGTGCACGTTCTACGAGATCAAGTTGAGTGATTGGCTGTAAAATGATATGTACTTTTAGTTGATTGAATTGAACCCAGAACTATAACTCTACAGTTACCTGGCTGGATTCATGTCTCGCTTTCTCTGTTTGATTGTAAATGCTTTATATTTTTTAAGTAGCCAATGTTAAAGGTCAAACTTGTGCATTAAAACCATAGACTGATTAAAACACATTCAATAACTTGGAAATGTGAAATCTGAACAGAAGTTTTAATCATGTAGCTGAATTTGGATTTCAAATGTTATCAATTGACAACAAAAACGTGGTGTCTTGGTGGATGACACATATCAGACATGACAGCAAAGTTAGTCCAGGAAGCAAAGATGTATGCAAAGATTCCTAGGCTTAAGTAGTCCGGAACAGAAATGCAGGAAACTGGTTACTTTCTCTCTTCCTCTTCAAAGAGCTTTCCAAACTACCTCCGAACACGTCTTCCCAGGAATTTTACAGGGACACACAGTTACTTTCCTGTGGCTCGGTTAACCTGCAGGTTCAAGGAATGCGGTCGTCTGTTTGTATGAAATAATGAATCGGTGTAGAGGATTGTATTTCTTGTGCAGACGCAGAGGAAGATGTCTGGCTGCAGACTGCAGCAGGGTCCATCGCAAGATCAACTTTACAATGGAAAGAGAGGGAGAAGGAAGGAGTGTGTGTCTGCAAAAATGTGTGTGTTTGTTTGTATGTGTTTGTGAGCCCCGTTGTGTTGGACTGTGAAGCCCATGTCTGGCGATAACGCAGCCCTCTGATGGTAGAGATAGTCGAGACGCCAGCTTAAATGTGGCTTGCTGGATTGAAGTTGCCCTGTAATGATAGTTGTCTCAAACAACACAGAACCTACCATTTGTAGCGAGGGAGGGGTGTTTTTATTTTTTTTCCCCTTATTTTGACTTATTCCTACATTTTTAGAGCTCTGAGAGGAAATTTGAGGAAGTTGAAACAAAACAAAGCATCTTAGAGCCGGCCGACAATGGTCAGTAGCTGAATTCTATCCTCCTCTGTCGTCCCTCTGTCGTCCCTCCCCTCCTTCCCCTCCCTCTCCACAACCCACCCACTTCTTTCAGCACAGTGGAAGAGTCTAATAACTGGAGGGGAATCTAATTCTTGGCACTGGATGAAAGACGAGGGTCTCCCTCCCTCCCTCTCTTTCTCACAGTCTCTTTCTCTCCCTTCATTTTTTCCGTGGATGCTGGTTATGCTTGGCAGGTTCTCTCTCTCTCTCTTTCCCTCTCATTTTCCCGCTCCCTCTTTCACCCAGTCCCTCTTTTTTTTTACTCCTCTACGTCCCCCTTTTTCCCCCCTTAACTTTCTTCCTCTCTGTGCAGGTTAGGTTTAGCGCGAGCGAAGTCTCCACTGCTCAGACTGAAGAGATAGAACTAAAGTTAGGGATCTAAAATAAATAGTTGGGCATTTTTGGGAAATATGTATTTAGTTTTCTCGATCAGAATTAGAATATTGATCCCATTTTGTATTTGCTTGTTACATATGGTTAGTTTGCTTAGCTTATTATCAACACTGGAAACACAACAGCTGCTAGCCTCTCTCCAAACTTTAAAACATTTGTATATAATTGTTGTTTAATTTATGAATTTAAAAAGTCTTAAGATAACATTTCAAGATGGTGTTGCCTGATTGTAGGCAAACAGGACTTTACACCAACAAATAATCTAGGACACCCTGATTTTTTTCGTACATATGAGAGAAATGATGATGTCACGTTTTAGCTGTTTCTAGCAGCATTGTGGTTATGTTGAGCTAAGCTATGATAACCATCTGCTTCCTTGGGCTACATTTATCATACAGATAAAGCATAAGTGGATCAATCTTGTCATACGCAACATTCAACAAGAATGTGAAGGGTATTTCCCAAAGTGTCTTACCATTTCTTTAATATCTGATAAGAAAGAAGAAAGATGTGTGTTGCTGTTATTGTTTGAAGTCCAGGTTGGACACTCTGTGGGGAGACAGCCGGGAGCTGCCTGCTTGACCCGTTCACTTTGATTGCCATTGCTTTTTATCAGTACAAAAAACAAAGCCAGTCCATAAATGTATCTTTTTTCAATTACAGCAAGACCTTTTTTTACCTATCTCCCCACCTTTGTTTGAGTCTCCAAAAACAACACTGTTTACGAGGGCGTTTCCGTGAGATTGGCACTAAGAGACAGTGATTTTGAAATGAAATAACAAAGGCTACTTATCTAATTGGTAAACAGAGCTGTTAAATGGTGGTTGGCGTAAACGCTTGCAGCGCGCTGTAATTGCTGCCAGCCCTCACATATAGATGTAGGCACGGCACGCACATTCACACAGTCTCACACTAACACGCGGTTTTTATACTTCCTCCACTGGAACATAAACATGCTGATAACCTCCAGTTTGAACCCGTCTTTTAAAATTCCATTGATGAAGTTTGGTCGCCCACCCTCCCCTTCCTCCGTCCTCCTCCCTCCCTGCTCTCCGTCAGTCTCACACGGCTCATTATACCTTTAGCTGGATAATATCCAGGCTGAGCATGATGACACTAAGGACTGTGCCAGAAACATTAAACATGACATGCGGTACCACTCGCGCTGCCAAAATCATGATGAAGTGGTTTGACTTTAAAACATATCACTCAATCTGCAGAAAACTGTGGCTCTAAATCTGAAAGACAAAAATGCATTACATGTAAGAGCAGATAGAAGAAACACGAGTTACATCAAATAGAAGATACACAAATAAACTTAAATATATGAACAGCATACAAAATAGAAAAGCATCATACTCTTGACTTCAGGTTTCATTAGAAACTTAAAAGCCAGGATTTAATAATATACTGTGTGCAGCATCATTCATTATATGCTGGAAATTAAAGTGTACTATGTCTAAAAAAACCTAAAAAGTCCCAGTTTGTTTTATGACTTCTTTGGGAATTAATTTGATTGTGAGCTCATAAAGTCTCCCTGTGTTTCCCCAGACATGTTTGTGTTGCCTTATTACAGGGAAGAGCATGCCTTGTAAAAGTGTGTGTGTGTGTGTGTGTGTGTGTGTGTGTGTGTGTGTGTGTGTGTGTGTGTGTGTGTGTGTGTGTGTGTGTGTGTGTGTGTGTGTGTGTGTATGTGTATGTATGTGAAAAGAGTTAGAAAGAGATAGAGTGAGAGAAAGAGAGAGATCCTGCTAGCTGAGCAGCCTGCTCTCTTATTGGAGCGCTGTAAAAACTCCTGACCGCAGGAGTTGCCAGCCTGGAATTCACTAATGACACACGTGAGCCTCAGATGAGAAGTGCAATTGTGTGTGTGTGTGTGTGTGTGTGTGTGTGTGTTATAGTCATACTGTTTGGATCAGAAGCCTCCATTTATGTGTGTACGTGTGCATGTGTGAGGCCCTATCTCATAATCTAGTGTGTATGTGTGTGCTTGTATTTGCTTACAACACTCACACACATCTCCTCCGACTCCGAGTTCTCCGCACTACCACCGCCTCTGTTGCCCCATCCCCCCCGAAACAAAAATGGCGGCTGTACAAACATAACACACCTAGCCTAATCTCGGTCCTGGTTTCACCCAAAAGCCGCTTGTTAATGGGAGAAGAGTCGCAGCCATTCTGGCCCCTGGTGGATGGAGAGGGGGTGCTTGCGGGAATATGAAAGGAATGGGGCCACCGGCACATGGGTCTTTAAATCCTCTGTGTCAATAGAGTCTCTGGAGCAAAATAATGGCATCACTCTGTGTGTGAGTTAATTTGAGCTGATAGCATGAGGGCTGGGGGGTCAAGGGTTCACGGGCTTGCGCTAGGTTGACAGAGAGCTGAATGCTTTCTACCCCCCCACTCCCCTCTCTGCTGGTCCTCTTTAACCCGGGACCTGAAGGAGTGTTATGGAGGGAGATGATGAGGGATGTCAGGGGAGGAAGTGGGCTGTTTAGTGTTGACCGTTTTAGCCGCCTTTTCAAAATATTCAGATGAGTGACAGATTGAAGGAAAAACTTTAAAAGAATGAGAGAAGAAACAGTGAACACAGACGCTTCCCTGCAAAGCAAAAGTTCACCGTGTTCACCTATTTTGAAACACATAAACACGCTTCCAGGCTGCGGAAACATAATTCCTGTGAGCCTCACGAAAGGTTTGAGTTTGCACTGAATTTGAATTCAAGCAGTGCAAGAAATCATTTACTTTTGTCATGTGAAATGGAAATAAAAGCCATGTTTATCTTGCTGCTGTTTGATTGAAAACAGTAGATTTGTGGTTTTTGTTTGAGGGTTGTTTATGTTCTGCTGAATTCTGACACTAGTCGTGGTCCTGTTGGCATAACTGGTACGAGTATCGATAAGCATTGTTCCAAAATAATGAGGGTTGGGTCATGTTCTGCTCACATAAACACTTGTCTTAGTGCATGCAGTCTTTTTTAACAATGCATATATTAATATTTCAACCTCTCCTCTTCCCTCAGACACTGGTACCTCCATCGGCTCCTCGACTTCCAGCGGACATCGCTCTCACTGGTGCAGCGTTGCCTACTGGGAGCAGCGCACACGTGTTGGTCGCCTTTATCCAGCCCACGAGCCCTCGCTCAACATCTTCTATGACCTACCTCAGGGCACGGGCCTCTGCCTGGGCCAGCTCCACGCCAATGCCTACCACAGCCGCCGCGAGGACCCAGGCAGCCACAGCACGGCAGGTCTGCACGGACACCCCCGCCATGGAAGCGGAGGGAGTAGCAGTAGCAGCAGCGGCAGCAGCAGCGGTGTGCAACAGATACGCAGTAAAATCGGACACGGAATCGTGCTGAGCCGCGAGCCGGACGGAGTGTGGCTTTACAATCGCAGCAAGCACCCAGTGTTTGTACACTCGCCCACCCTGGACCCCCCCAGGGCTCGAGGGCTGAGTGTGAAGAGGGTGATGCCGGGCTTCTCCCTCAAAGTGTTTGACTATGAGCACTCCAGCTGGATGGCGCAGCACGGCGTGAAGCCTGAGTGCCATGAGGGGCCCTGGGACCCCCACAGTGTTCGCATCAGTTTTGCTAAAGGATGGGGCCCCTGCTACTCCAGACAGTTCATTACTTCCTGCCCGTGCTGGCTGGAGGTGCTGCTCAACAACCACAGATAGCACACACACACACAGACTCACAAGGCTTCCTGACCCATTATCCTTATTGTACTCTACCTAGATTTAATATAAAGTTTATATATTATATAAAATATATTATACATGTAAATACTTGAGTCATTTTTACAATGCAATTATTTATGTATAGTGTAATGTGTATATGGACAAAATAAAAAGGAACAAGAATATGCACTTTTGATTCTACATGCATTACAGTTTCTCAGTGTATATTTTGCTATTTTAAACTGTACAAGTAAGACAAAACCTGGTTTATGTTCTCATGATTTAGCAATTCCTTCAAAAGTATGCCATACACACATTGTCAATAAAGTATTTGTATTAAACGAAGGTTTCTGTGATGGTCTTAATAGCTTTAATGGACTAGTTGCTAGTGACAAACACTTTTCTATTTTCTGTTTTCTACTGGAGCAAACCAACATGTTCTTTTGTTACAGCATGGATGCTGTTTCAGTATTTATACTATTGCTTCAAGGCACTTGTGAAATGTATACTTAAAGGTTGGAGGTCAAATATTTTGATTCCATTTCTTACATGTTTCGAATCCAGTTTACATTATTGCAAAGTAAAGACAAAACATTAACTGTGTGTTTGAATCAACTCCTCCTCTTCTCATAGCCATCTCTACTGAAACACCGCCATCACCAGTCTCTATCACAGTGGATGAAATAAACACAACGATTGCGTGTCATTTTCAGTAATGAGACTAGGCAAAATTGTCTCTATCTGCAGTATCTTCCAGGGCTCACATTTGCATAAAGCACACCTCAACATCACTGATATCATAAAGTAAATAAAAGAATGTAAACACAGTAACTGCTGAGTATAATTAAAGCTCAACACAGCCTTGTACTGCTGGTGTTTCAGTGGTACCATACTAAAATCAGACACTTTTGTCTAGTGAAACCTAGCTCTAGGTCACATGACAACACTTGATTCATCTCTGGTCACTGAGAAAGACCGTGTGATACAATTAAAGTATCAGGAAATCAAGTAGACCTTTGAGCTGACATTCATTTTGATTACACTGTTCCCAAAGATGAACTTTCATGCTCAAATGTTTCATTGTGGGTGTCAGTGTCAAACTATGTAAACCTATTAAGTTTTAACTATCTGCTTGGCATTAAAAGGGGACGAGTGGCATTGGAAACAGTGAAAGGCGTCAGAGTGCCAGTGGTGCGAAAACAAAGTGCATAACTGAGAAATTACTCAACAAACCACAGCAGGGCACTCAAACTGACGTTCTGTGTTACTGCATAATGGTATCCTCTTAGATTTCAATAACATAATCATTTATGGAAACTTATATTAGAAACAATCTAAGCAGTAAGAAGGCCATAATCTTTCTGACGTGTGTTTACGAATCAACAGCAGCACCTCACTCAGCTCAGGCAGTCAGGCATTTTTGTTTTGACCCTGAACCTCTGCAGGCTGCTTTCTGAAACCTGTAATTAACTTTAGCTGTAAAACTAGAGAAGGGTTGATTACAAAGTTGCAGCACTCCTGACGAAAAACATTCAAACATCTCCCCAGTATTACAGCATGAGGAAGAAGAAGAAAAACTATACTACTAAGTCCTCATTGGGGAATTCCGTGTTTTACTGTTGTCACTCATTACACACCCATAAGCCTGAAATAAGGTAGCGGGCTGCCAAATAGTCAGCACTGTGAGCAGTTGGAGGTGTGGTGCCTTGTTCAACACAGGAGTTCAACTGGCTTCTAAAACGCTTGGAGTCTGAGCTAAAATTGATGTAAAACCATGTGTATATCTTAGTTTTTAAAACTTTTATTTAATAACAGCCAGAAATGGATAACAACTTTATAAAAGCTCATTCCCACATACATACACAACCCAAAAATGCCAATGTATATTTCAGTCTAGGCTCTGTTCTGCTTTTCCAGGCAAAGTGTGGGATTTGTGGTTAGGATACAATTGAAGGATTCAGAGGAGGGATCGGGGTGGGAGAGTTGCTGCTGGCAGAAGCAGTCTAAAAACCTTACCATGTTTCTCTTCCTTCTCTCTTTTGGTTTTCCAATCTGAAAACACCCCTGCCCTGTCTTAATTGTTTTCCTTTGTCAGGATTCAGAGTCATGGAGACGATGAAACAGATCCAGGCAGCGAGCGGCAGAGGAAGTTTTCTGGCCCTCGTCTTCAGGGCTGCGGTGTGTGCTGACCTCACTGTGAACTGAAGGAAAACGGGCTAATTCTGCCGCTGGCTTTCGAGCTCCACCCCTCCAACCGTATAATTATCCCTCTCCAGATTATGATGTTATAATTATGTTAATGAATACATCAGGGATGGATAATTAATGGCAGACATTTTCAGTGTATGCTATAAGCAAGATGAGGGATTGCTTAAAGGAACTTACAAAGGTGTTTACAGGCATTGTTACTTAACTGCAAATCATGAATGCTTTATATTTTAGTTTTCTATTATTTTCAAATGCACAGTTTAGAGAATGTTGGCACCCTTTAAACTGCCGAAAGTTACCTAAATGATGTCATGGTGTTGAGGTCAGCAAAGGGGTGTTAAGATGTCCTTTTAAAAAAATTGTACTTTGCAATTATACTTTGTATCTGCATCCTTGTAAAGTATATTTAAGATATGTTAGAATATACTTAATCGTGATAATTTATTACAACACGATGGCAAGTAACCTGTATTTGTTTTTTTTTATCAGCCTGAATTTGGAAAACCAATTGCCTCAGTTATAATCACAGCAGCAAACAACAAAAATATGAACGAAAAAGATGATACATTTATAATCAAGTTATAATAAAAAACCCAATTGAATATCTTACGAAATAAATGAATTCACAATTAATCCATTCAGGGATTTTTTTAGATGATTATCCAGCAATGAAGAATCCCATGACTGCAGAAATCTGAACCAGTTCAAGTGATCACCAGAGAAAGAACACTCAAACCTCAAAATCCACACTCTCCTCCCTCATCTCCTCATCATCATCTTGACGGTGTTTTGTCATTTTGCTGCTCAGAGTGCATGAGGATCGATACCTCCGCTGTCAGCGAGCCCTCTGTGTGAAACCGCAGACAGCTCAGACATCTCTCTCTGCCTCGTTGATGATTGAACATCAGTGTTTATTCATGTATTCACAAACAGAGGAAAATGTTGTTAGACAGGTCCTAAGGAATTCAAAAAACATAGAAATAGTGATCCAATCAATTCAGCATTGTAGAAGTACACTTAAAAGGTAAGACACACCTCTTTATACATCATCTTAGTGCTTTTTCTATTTTGTAAGAATATTTTTAAAGACATTTCTGCAGTTTTTATTGAAAAGTGATATTTCTTTTCAATAGCTTCAATTGTATGTCACCCATTGAGTTCCAATCACTATATTTCACTACAGTGTGTGAGTAAGATACATCTCTTATATTGGCTTTTAGGGCTTCTTTTTAGTCTACAAATATTGTTATATTCTTTTTTATTAAAGATCATGATTTCTTTTCAATACCTTCCATGTCATCACACCAGGAGACTCTGAAACTGGACACACCTTTTCTGGGGGAATTTTTGAGCAAACATATCTGGTCCCAGTAATCATACTCATACTGTCTGGAGCTTTCCAAAAAATAGTTTGTCAGTCTTATTTCTGTAAACTAATTACACACTGAAGAGGCATGACTCACTTGTGTCCCTGGAAATAAAGTAATACCGTTGTGGTTAAGGGTTCTTGTAACTCATAACTATTATTTAATGGAAATTAGTCTTAAGATGACTGACTGTCAACTTTATGCTTACAATGGACGTAGCTTTGCTTTCACTGTAAACTATTTCCCCTCTCTGCTAAACTATTAGTATAAAACTCTGCAATGTACACATCTCGGGCTCGCCCTTTCAATGAATGACTGAGGTGCTGTTTATTTTCCAGTCCGTCTTTGTTTTGTTACTTTAAGCACCATGTCTGTCAGCCATAGTGTAATTATATGGCGGCAGAGACACAGGAGGGGGGGGAGGCGTTGGAGACAGCCTTCTCTTTCAGCTGCTGTGAGCCGCGACCAGCACTGCCTGAAGCTGCTCGCCTCTTGAACAGCAGCCAAGAGACTCTTCCACTGCCGTTTAACCCCCTTAGATCACCCAAAGAGGTCTTTCTCCCAGCTCACCTGACGCCTTCCTCAAAATAGTTCTGACCCCAGAGGCAAACTTGAAAAGGTCATGGAAAGTGACGGACGTCCTGTTTGTGAAATGTTTTTATGAACTAATACTTATTATCAGTCATGTCACCAAATGTCCATATGTGAAGTCATTAGTCACACATTGCTACTTACAAGTTAAATATACAATTTTTGTATGTGACCGACAGTTACATTTGCTCAGTCAAGATGTTGTTTAATATGTTGCAGTCACTCTCACAACGGCAAATACAAGCGAACTATATATGCAAGCATGATAGAATAAAATGTCCTGAATATGTTAGAAACGATTCAAATTCAAACATTAGTTCTATTGCAAAATATCATATACTTCTGTAGTGTAAAGAGTGGCATGTAACTAAGCATTTGGCTATTCTGCTTTCTCCTATATCTATTTATAAAACTTTTAAAAATATATATATATTTAAATTATAAATAATCTGTGAACTTTAATGCTACGATGTATGTGATGTCAGATGAGTAATAAATGAAAAACAGGTATGAATTACTATATGACAGTAAAACAAGAATACAGTTTAAAAGGGGAGTGATTTGTAAAATATCCATAAAGAAACAGTAAATCTGTTTCCAGTTGTGTTTCATATGGGTGTTGAGAGATGTATCCATAGAGCTCTTAATATTGCTCTCAAAGTGCACCAGATTGATGCTTTTAACTTCAATATTAAAAGAAAAATCTTGTCCGCCCCCCACAAAAATAGCACTTATACACCTATATGCCGTGAGCTGATTATCGAGCCTTCATTGTGACAATCGCGGATGTACTGTGTATGTGCGTGTGGGGAGTGTTGCAGTAGAACATTCAACTGTGGCGCCCGGTACCTTGATGGGAAACCCTATATGTTTGAGCACCCTCTATGAAACGTCAAGCTACCCCACAGCACCCCAAACGAAAATCTCTGGCGCCGCCACTGGCCGCGGCACATGATGGTTTTGTGTGCCCTCCCATGAAAATCATATGCCCTCTCTGTAGATTTGTTCTGGCGCCGGGTCTGGGGAGAATCATCCCAATTAATAACCTAATTATAAACCCTTTATGAATCCTTTATAAGGGTAGTCTTATTGTAAAGTGGTACCCGAAAATGTGACAATACATGAGTTAAAGTTGTTCTCTTGATGAACAGGAACAAAACTGCGATCACCTTGATGCTC